TTTATTTTTGTTGTTGACACAAGCTCTTGCTATGCAGCTCAGACTCACAGTGATCGTCCTGCCCCAAGGTCCCCAGTGCCGGGATTACAGGCGTGAGCCGCCGTGGCTGCTTCCGGGGCTGGCACGCTTCCCTCCAATGTGTCATTGTGTAACTGACAGTTTTAGGTATGTTGACGTGTGGCATTTTAAGGAACATTTTACAGAGACAGGAAGGCTAAGCAAGTGAAGGCGGTAGCGCCAAGAGGAGAGCGAGCTGAGCGGTGCACGGCTGGGCTGCCCCGGCCAGGCCCGAAGGCTGCGGCCGCTCTGCCTCCGCGCCGCCCGCCCGCGCAGCCTGCCTGCGGTGCTCGCCTGCGTTCTGCGCTCGGTCCTCAGCCGCCTCGGGCGGCAGCGCTGTCCCGCTGCGCTGGCCGGGGTCATCCTAGGCCGCCGATGCGGGCCGGGGTCCCTGGCGGCAGGGGGAGGCGGCCTCTGAATCCCCCGGGGGTGACTGCGCCTCCGGCTTCGGTGTGGCGGCGGCGCAAGGCTTGGTGGCCTGGGCAGGGAGAACGGGGCGCCGGGGCGCTGCGGCGTCTACGCCTTGTCTCCGCCGGCTGTAGTCGTGGGATTCCCGCGGGCGCGCCCCGACACTCCCGGGACGTGTCCTCCGTGGGCCTCCGTGCTGTTTTCTCCACGAAGCCGCTCCGCCGGGCAGCTGGGAAGTTGCCTCCCGTAATTCCAGGTGGCATCGTTGGCATCAGGAGCACTCTGAGGTGTCTTCTGCAATAATCAAGGCATTGGTGTGTTTATTATCAAGAACACTTGTTTGCTCTCTGCCTTCCCCACTATTCCAAGCCTGCAGGTGAGGGGATCGGGGCTGGCTGTGCCCAGCGCTCAGTAAGCGCTCAGAAACTGTGAGGCTAACGTTTTCCAGCCCGAGATCCTCTGCTTATATGCTGTTATTTTAAACCTGAGATTTTCAGGCTGGGGTCTGGAGAGAGTATGCCCAGTTCTCCATGACAGCCAGGAAGGGGTTACCAGTGCCGTGACACCCCAGCCCTCCAGGTCCGGTTCCTGGTGCCATCGGGGGCCCATGGCACGCCCTTCCTGAGGACGCCACAGAGGACAAAGAGGTGGCGGTTGCGGGCATCAGTTCGCAGGCTGGGTGGGAGGAGCGAAGCCCCTGGTGGAAGCCATGGCTGAAGCTACACACTCTGGGAGAGGAGAAACAGCGAGAGAGAAAATGGGATAGCAGCCCAGGCATGAGGCACCTGAAGCTGAGTGGGGAGGGGGTAGCTGCCACCTGGCGTGGCACGCAGCTGACACTCCCAAAGGGCCAGCCCGCAGTGTCGCCCTTCCCTGTCCCAAGCCTTCCAACCTGCACTTCTCCAGCAACACACCTGGGCCTAAAACTAAGTCACCTCTGAACAGAGAGCTGTGACTTGGGCAAGGGGAGAGTGTGAAGCCACTTGTGTCTGGTGTCCACTGTTCTCCTTTTGGTCCCATGAGTGGATGGAGCACCATGCCCCAAAGGACAGGGGCCAGGGTCACCCACAGCAGGAGTCTAGAAAGACCCACTGCTGCTCCTTGGAGGGAGGTGGTAGAAGTGACACAAAAGACCAGCTGTATTTGGCCCAGAACTACTGTGACAGGTGTGAGTGTGTTGTTGCAGATCCTGCCTGACCTCAGTTCCCACGGAAACAAGTTGAAGTCAGGCTAGGGTTGGGGAAGCTCCTCCCTGGATCTTGGAAGCCTTTCGGAGAACTGTGGCTTAATCCAGCCCCCCCTGAGAACAGACCTTGCACACAAAGTTGTTACTTACCATTTGATGGTCTCTATCCTTCATTAGAAATGCAGATAGAGCAGGTATGGCGGTAGGAGCCTACAATCCTAGCACTTAGGAGGCTGAGGCGGGAGGATGGTCGCCACTTCCAGCCAAGCTGGCCTACAGTGAGTTCAAGGAGCCGGAACTGCAGAGTGGGACTTCTTTCAAAAAACACCAAAAACAAACAAACACCTAAACAAACAAACAAACAAACAAGAAAACACAGCTGTAGCTCAGTGGTAGAACCCTTGCCTGGAAAGAGCAAGGCCCTGGGTTCAATTCTCAGTACCACCAAACAAAAAACAAGACCCCAAACAAGCCCTAACGAATGCAAGTTGGGGCTGGAGATCTGTCTTAGAGGTAGAGTCCCAAGTAGCAAGCTCAAGGCCCTCGACCAAGGGGTATATAAGCAAGTTGGCTTCCCTGTTTGCTTTATGAAACTGGTATGTTCTCTTCAAATTCTTTTCAGGTAAGTTTTTTTCTTCTTTGGATGATACTGACATATTCAGAAGCCACAGGGAAGTTCACTTCAAAAAATGATAGTCCCTCACAAATAGTTCTATTTCTTTCCCTGGCCATTTGGTGTCAAGATGACAAGTGGCCTGTAGGTGTGGGTTCTGTGTAGGAAGTCTCCTACATGGCCACACGGAGAATGTTTATTGTAGAAAGGGAACTTTTGCCCTGTGAAGTCACCTCCTCCGAGTCCCCAGTAGCTTTCTGTTATTGTATCACAGGAAATTCCTGGTGGTCCACAAAAGCGCTCTTCCGAGTGCAGCTGCAAAGAGAGCGAGAGAGCGAGACAAATAACTGCTGAATGCACCGGTGAGGTCTGGGGACCCCTCGGAGGGCTGGCTCCGTGCTGGGCCTGCAAGACGCAGACTGGGGGCCTCTTTGAACAATGTCAGAAGGGACAAAGGTCAACTGAGTTGTCACTGTAGCACACTTAATGCAGAGAAGAAGATGTAAGAGGATGTCTTTTGTGTCTCAACAGGGTAGTAGAGAATTATATTTAGATGCAGCTTCTTTATCCTACAGCCGAACGTCTTACGCAGAATTTGTTAGGAATTATCAAGGCAGACAGTGGCCTGTTTGACCCATCAAATTTCTTTTAGACCTGGTGAGTGGAGCTAGCCTCATTTATGCTAGGCAAGTACTCTACTGCTTGGAGATACCCCAACCTTATTGTATTATGTATGTATATATGTATGTATTTGGTACAGGGTCTCACTATGCAGCTTAGTACTTTTTTTTTTCTTTTTTTCTTTCTTTTGCGGAATTGGGGATTTGAACTCAGACCATTGCTCTTGCCAGGCAAGTGCTTATTGTACTGAGCCATCTCCCCGGCCCCCTGACTAGGCAGCTTAGGCTCATAGTGATCCTCCTGTTTTCAGCCTCCCCAGCATTGGGGTTGCAGGCACGTACCACTATGCCTGGTTTCTGTGGCTGACTCAGTGCACCCGGGGCGTGGCCAATGTGGGAGGTGGTATGGAGGATTGAACCCCAGTTCCCGCCCTTGCTTAAGCAGGTACTTAGTCTGCTGAGTTATCTTGCTGGCCCAAGTACCAGATTTTAAAAGAAAACTGTCTTATACGAGTGAATTCAACTGAAAATAGGAATATGCCTCCAATAATTTAAAATAATTCAGTATCAAGCTTAATTCATTTTGTGGCTTAGGTCAACTCCTTTAATTCTTCGAGCTTCAGTTGTCTCATGTGGCAAGAAGGGATTTTTTTGCTTCCTATTCACCCAGATTTAAGGCAGCAGGATTCCACATCAGCAAGCACCGAGTGCCACACTAACTCACCAGAGAAGCGTGCCCAAGTCATGGGTTTCTAGGGCACGCCTAGGACTGTGGGTGTCACGGTTAGAGGTTCTTCCCTAGAAGAGCTGCTTCCTGGCCTTGTAGTAGGTAAGCTGGGATGAGCTCTGACAGGCTGGGAGGTCAGCGCCCACCCTTTGAGGCTGCTTCTGGGAGTTTTGAAGACTACTTTAATTGCTGTATTTTCCTGAAGTCCAACGTGAGAAGTCGAGATATGCATTATATCTTTATTTTTTTCCATTGTTAAATGTGTGCAGGTGTGCGCGTGCATGTGTGTATGCGTGCGTGTGTGTGTGTGTGTGTGTGTGTGAGCATGCTGCAGTGTGCTAGGTAGCTTGCCTGAGTCGACCCACGGATGGACGCCCTTTCTCTGTCCAATCTTTGCTCGGGCTCCCTCACATTCGCTTCCAGTGCAGCCTTTTGGGCTTTTGTCTCCATCCTTTTATTATTCAGTTCTAAAAGGAATCCTGAAGCTTCAGTTTGGTCAGAAGCTCCCACTCTCAGGGTATGACTGGCTTGTTTCCATCAGCCCCAGGCACCGTCTGGGCACCCTGCGCTGTCTTCAGGCAAGAATCCAGTTACAGCAATGTCACCATAAATCTCCCAGCCCCCTGCGTTTCCCTTGGTAATTTTCCATCAGCTGACCCACCCTGCTCCCTGGCTATAAATCTCATTTTCCCTCAGTCTATTCTGAGTAGACTCGTTCTATAATGAAGTCTCTAGCACAATAGTTCTGCATAAAACCTGGCTTTAACACTTTACTCTCTGGCTCTGATTTCTCTCAAAACACTTCTTGATGTTTTAGAACTGCTGTGGTAGGATGGGCCTGAAGTACCCATCAATGGCCCTGTTATTTTCTCTACAGTAAGCTGGCAGGCCCCAGAGCCGCACAGACTCACAGGGGTCGCTGCCGGCACATAACTGGGAGCGAGGAGTCAAGAGTCTTCGTGGGCGACTGTTGGCAGCCTGCATTTGCTAGTTACACAACTGGTGGTTGCTGCACACCTCCCACGGGCCGCAACAATTCATGGAAATTAATAAATGCATTTATTGGGGGAGGTCATGGGTAAAACCGGAAAATCAGTCCCCCAGCTTCCCAGACAAATATTCTAGGCCTGAGTTTCAATAGAAGCCAGCAGCCTTCTTCTCAGGACTGAGTATTTTTAGCAAGTAGAAGTGGCTTCAGTTCTTTTTTTTTATGTGGTACCAGGGATTGAACTCAGGACCTTGTGCTTGCCGGACAAGTACTTTTTCCACTGAGCTATCTTCCC